ATTGCCAGGTACACTGCTTTCTACTCCTCTATTCATCCATTCATTTCTGCCAGTAGCTCAAATTGTGCTCTATATGCTTCCCACATTGCCTTCTCATCGAATTCCTGTGGCTTCCTTCGCATTATATCACCCCTATTGTCTGGAATGTGACTTTTGGCAGAACTGAAGATGTCTGCATTGGGGTTTAGCTGCAAAGTCTGGAAGGGGCTTCCCATTGTCTGAGGCTGATTAGGTCGATGGCTAATATATCCTCCTTGTGTAAAAGACATTAAATCATTCTTTAATGTATTTAATTCGCTTTGAAATTTACTAATGTTTTCCATTTGTGTACTCTGGCTTTCTCTCAACTGTTGGAGACTTTCTTCTTGTTTATTTTCTTGTTCTTCTTGTTTCTCTCCCCCAACAACTACTGTAATCTCTCTTGTTTGTTTTGCTGTTCAAGCTGCCACTGTTGCAGGTTTTCTTGCCACTGCTGTTGTCTCTCTTCTTGTTTCTTTTCTCGTTTTTCTTGTTTCTTTTGCTGTTTTTGTATTGCTGCCATCAAATCTACTAAGTCGTAGTTTCATTTACCACTTCTCGTTTCCATCTTTTTTTTTCTCTATCCCACTCTCTGACACCAATTTGTTACATATCTGCTCGTTTGTTAATTTCCCGTAGAAATTCTTTCCGGGAAACTTCAGCGATATAAGGCCTTTCTTGATTAAAACTAGTTTATTCTTTCTAGATAAAAACTTTGTAATACACTTAACAATTTTTATAACACACGCTATAAATCACAGTGATTCACACACTTTACTTATAGTGCCTACTGATGGCTTGACAAAATTATCTATCTCTTCAATTCCGCTGGTTTTTCTCGCCAGGCTTATATACTTAAAAGAGGGCGTCTCGAATGCACTCAGGCCTTCATGATCCTTCGAGAAACTCCAGCGCGCATGCTTCCAGCGTCGCGTGACTTCCGCTGTCGTGACAATACTGCTAAGTATAGTGGTTAGCTCTTCCAATTATAGATAAATGTTAGAGATCGCCGTCTTACTAAACGGGAGTTATATCTTGCTTAGGGTGCACACGTCCTGCTGAATTGTGTTTGCTTATCATTCGTGCAATCAAAAACGAATTGTTTTACACAGCCAGTTTATGTACAGTCTATTAATTCAGTTCAATCAGGTAGTAAACTAAGTTTAACACTGCATAACATTTTTCATGATGATGAGGAACCCACGTGAAGTAAATAAATAAATAAATATATATATATATAGTAGAGACGGCTGATATGGGTATTTAAATATTTTATTGAAAAACAAAAAACAAGTAACAACGTTTGGACCCCCTTACTACGGTGCATGGTAATTAGGGTACTTGACTCAACTCTGAAAGTTTCAGGTTTGAATCCCATCATCAAACTTGCACGCCTCTTTAGTCTCGAGGCTATATAATGTGACAGATAATCTCATTTTTCGTTGGTAAAAGGCGTGTTTATTTCTTTTTGGAATTTTGCGAAAAGCTATTCGAGGGTTTTCTGCACTAGTCGTCCTTAATGTAGTACAGTAGTGGTAAACTAGAGGGAAGGCAGCTAATCAACATCACCCATCGCCAACACTTGGGCTACTCTTTTACCAACAAAAAAACGAGTTTGAAGCTCACATTATAATGCTCCAAAGGTTGAAAGGACGAACATGTTCGGCGATGGGATTCGAACTCCTAAAATGTGAATCAAGCACTTTACTATACCATGCCAGGTCCTTGGTAAAAAGACCTCAAGAGTTTGACAGTTGGTGGTGTTGACTCGGTCTCTTCCGTCCGTCTGATCCTTAATAATTATTTTGGTCAGAAACCCCTTTTTTTTCGTCATATAGCTGTCTTCTCTCTATTATATCACTTAGAGGCAGCTAGCACATATAGCCCTCGAGTAGCTTTGTGAAACAAAAGTTATTGCGCGTATCAGGGTACTCGAGATTGCCACTTGTGTAGTTTCCCATAATACCTTACATTTTAGTTATACATATAGAAATATATTGACGACTCAGGGACTTCAGTGAAATCGTTTACCTTTTTAAACCTAACATAGACAATTATTTGATAAAGCAAGTATTAAAAAAATTTAAACCTATTTTTATAGGTTCTTGAAGAATACATGATGCAATCGAAAGTTTGCCACCAAAACTTGAAATTCAAGACCTTGTAGCAAACTTTCGATTGCATGATTGCATCATGTAATTTTTTAAGTACTTTTATCCTAATTTTGCTCTTAATAATAATAATGCCCTTAATGAATAATAAAATGAGTTTTATAATCTTACTCATTCAAGTTGAACGAGTAAGCTAATACAACTCATTTATATTATTTATTAAGAGCATTATCATGACTACCAACAGAAATAACATCATTCGTAAATTCTATAAACTTTTTGTTAAGCAATGTAATTGTATGCGTTTTAAAACCCGTATAGTATGAACACTGTTTTTCTTCGAATGACAGTTTTATTGTGAATTAAGTGATAACTGTATTTTTTTATGCAATGGACTATCTATGCTGTACCCGACTAGAGTATTGTTGCGTCAGCGAGGTCACGTGACTAGTATCACGCCACGTCCTTCTCGAACCTTCGTGAATTGTCCGGA